AGGTCACAAATTTAACCCAGAAGTGTAACATTTTTCCTCAGTAAATTCACTGTGCTTCAGCAGATGTTTCACTTGCTCAACTGTTTCTTTTGTCGTGTCTGTAAAGTTATTTCAGAAAAGATACTTCAAAAAAAAATAACAGAAGAAAAAAGGCAATTTCTGGCAGATTTCTTCAAAGTGGGCAAAAGACCAGCCCATCGTTCTTTCACCTCTACAAAAATGTGTGCATGTTGCTGAAGCTGTAGCTCAAAGAACCACTGCACTGTCAAGCCTCTTGACAGTATTCAGGAATGAATTTCTGCATTGCTTCTTTTACCTGCACTGAGCAAAAATACATGAAACAAGATGAAACATCAGTACACATTCTAGGCTGTCGAGTATGACAGACTGAAACTACAGAATGGTATATGCCAGTGGCAGATTAATGTGGGTGACTCATTTAAAAAAAGTAAATAACTTTTGTTTTTGGACAGAAAACACAGTAGTGGCGAACAGGAACCTAATACGCTACCATCACCACCTCTTCTTTCTGCAGCAGATGACCGTAATCAGGTAAGCTGAAAGTGGCCTTGCTTTAGTCATTTTTCCTGTTTGCATTTTTGGGGTGGCTTACAATAGGAAAACAACTAGAGTAGCATCTGTATCTCCAGATTGCTTACCTCAGCTAAACCCCACACCATTGGCACTCAAAAGCATCTAGTACTACTTACCAGAGTTACAAAGTTTAAATATTAAAATTTGAAATCACTTATCTTTTTCCCTTGTAGCAGAAATTATCACAAAAGCAAAGATTTCAAGTTAAGCTAAGAGAGGCAACACAGTGAATTTTAATTGTTTGTACAGAGAAAACTTAAGTTATCACCAGATTTACTACCTGTCTTGCTAGAAACTTTGCCTCAGAGCACAGCTACTATGTGTCAGGCAAATGTGCTGAAGTAAATAAAAAGATTTTTCCATAGGCAGACAGTTTAAGAATTGAGTGCTATATATATATATGCTATATAAAAATTATAGAGTAGTGCTATATATATGCATCAATTCTGCTTTCAAACATGAATTAATCTCCTGAAAATGTCTTAAGGAGGGAATAAGGTGATGTGTTAAGTATTGTCTCAAAAAAGAAGTGGTGTTAAAACAAACAAACAAAACCCAAACAAAAAACCAAGCAAAACCAAACACCCAAAAACCCCCAAACCAACTAATTTGTTTTCTCAGGATAATAAAACCAAAACCTGGCCTCCAAAGGCGCCCTGGCAGCATGCGTCCTCCGTCACGAACACGCTACCCAGCCAGAGTACATCTTTGTACCCCATGAGCAGCCCTGTCAGCCAGTGGAGCGACACGATGCAGATCCTCCAGTCGCCCATGTGGGCAGCAGCCAACGACTGTGCTCCAGCGGCAGGAATCTCCTCTAACTTTGCCTATGCGCAGCAGCAGCAATCACAACAGGCTTCCCAGCACAAACAGATGAATAAGGGCTTTAAATCTTTTCCAGTAAAGCACGAACGCAGACCATCTTACCTGCATCAGTACTAACTGCTTTTCGTATTGGGAAATGCAGCACAGGGCCAAATGTAAATTACAGATACTTGGTTTCACAATTGTATATTGGCTATATCCTGTTTATCTCATTAAATAGGGAATTGAGGGGGTTTGGGTGAGATAAACAAACTCTTGAATTCTGAGTTACAGTGCTGAGCAAATATGGCCAATATGTATGCTTGACAGACATGAAACAGCCCAAAACTGTGATGTAGAAATGCTTTTAAAAATGTGTATATTGCCTTTACTTTCAAAACCTTTTTTTTTTTTCCAAAAGAACTGCTGAAGGACTACCATACAAGAAACACTGTATTTTATAGCTATTTTTCATATAGATTTATAGTTAAACATCTTCCTGAAACACACTGAATATGTTGAAGCAAATATATAGTGGTCACTTTGCTCAACACTGTTTGTGTTTAAATTTATAATGGACAAGCTGTAAAGCCTTTGTATTCTCCATAAATGGCCTGCAGGCAGCTTTTTTAAAACGAAGCGCGACAGCAGCTTTGTGTGCCACACAAGTGAGTTCATGGTGAAACTGTTGCAGAAACAGTTGCAAAACTGAGTTTCGTGGTAGTTTCCTTACTGTAAAGATCAGCAGAACCACTCAACCTGGTGTCACAAATGTTATCTGAGCTGCTTAAAGTAGATGGCATCTGTGTGGATAATGAGACACTGGTTTTCAAAGAAATACACCATTTCTTGATGCTTCATTTGGCCAAAGGCATTACCCACACAGCGCTCCTTAAGTGTGTGAAAGTACAGCCTAAAAGACTACTTGCATATATTTAAAGTCTTATTTCAGATGCTACAGTTGATGAAAGATTGTGAGCTGGCTCAGAAGAAAACTAAACTGAAATGTGGGGTAGCAGTTAGTTAAAAGAACATTATTTTTTTTAAAAGGATAAAGTAATTATTTGCAGTCAATATGTGCCATTAAGTGAACCTGTGGAATCATAAATAATCTTCCAACCAAAGTGGATCCGGGAGAGTGACTGGTGCTTAAAAATTGAAGATCAATGGTAAATATATGTATAGCTATCCCACTGTATATTAACTGAGATTACAGAAGATTCTTTATATAGTTAGAGCTTATTTAAATTTTCATATTTCATCTTTGAAAGAGTCTAAAAACCACAATATTTTCTGGTATAAGAGTTTTGACAGTATTAATCTTATTTTTGTATTTTTCTTAAGTCATATCATTCTAATATGTTAACTACTAGTAAAATGGGTTATTAGTTCTAACTACATAATTTTTCAATGAAGATAAAGCACATTCGTTGTTTCTGTTTTTACAAACTAAGTACATCTATATCTAAAGATACCAAAAAATGAATACATTATATATATATATAAATAAAAAGTATACACAACACTAAAACTATTAAACATTTGGGTATTTAAAACCCATCCACCTTTTCTGTTTGTATGGTGATGGGCTGCATTTGCAGGCCCCGATTGTTACCTTTTGTGCTGTTTGAGGATGCCAATGTTGCCTGTATTTATGATATTGTCACCATGTTTTCTGAAACTTCATACTTACCATGTTTACAAAGATTTGTTTGCTGTACATAGACTTTTTACAGTAATGTGCTTTGCACAATCAGTGTGGCTTCTGTCTGTAAATTGTTAATGGTCTGTACTACTATAATTTTGAAAACCCTCTGCTGAAAATGTTAGTGGTTATTTAACTTGATGAATGGTTTTGAGTTTCCTAAATCTTGTCATTTAGATCTAATATTAAATCTGAAATTTGGTTGTACTTACTGGTTATTCATTCTAAGACCAAAATGGAAGTTACTGAAAACACTTAATTTTCAACTTTTTCTAACAAGTGCCAAAATTATTGCTATAGTTTTTGCGGTTTATTAATAATTACAAATGCTGGCAAGTTTCTGGATCTACATAAGTGAATTGTGAAAATGAAGAAAGGTTGTCTGCATTCTGACCACGTAGGTGCTACTATGTCCTTTGCTTCCGATTGTTCTGAACACTGGTAACTTTAAGAATTGTTGCACTTGGCAAATGAGTCTTGCCATTAAACTTCACTTACACTGCCAAGTGCAAGGGTTTGGTGCTTAGTTAACTTACCCTTATTGCAGTGCTTCTTGTGAATAGCTAACGCTTCTGAACTGGAACTGTACATTTTGTATTTTAAAGCTTCTGTAAAAGTAAACTATTTGCTTTATTAAAGATATACATTTAATAGGTCATACCTGTTTAAAACGAGCAGCACCTTAAACTGTAACTTTGGTTTGTAAACAAAGATCTTATTTCATTAACATGGGATTATTTAACAGTTTGAAAATTGTCAACTGCCTACTTACTGACTCATCATGTAAAACTGTACAGTTTGAAGCATCTTTAAGGCTCCTTTTTCAAGCGGATTGCACTGAAGAACTGGTAGTACCCCAGTAGTGCCTTGGCAGTATCTATGAACTAGTTCTGCAGGTTAACATTGCCAAAACCAAATTACCTGGAATTTTTAGCTATCACAGAGTAAATAATTTTGATAGTAGTAAGCAAAAAGTAAACTCTGCCTGCCCACCCCCCCAATCAAGGCTATTAGTTTGGCTTATGTTAATCATGCCACTGAAATGCACTATCCCAGGAGTGCTCTTTCTGGCAAAGAGTACAGCAGCATCGAGCTGAGCGTGAATGCTGACAAATACCCAGGAAGCATGAGACTTCATTCTGATTATGCAAGAATTTACTTGTTTACAGAGTCCACAGTACAGAGCATTTCAAGCAAAAAGGAAAAGTCTTGACACAACTAGGGCAAACACACAGCCTTCTCTCACTCAAATAAAGGCTTGATTTCTCCCTTGCGCTTATTTGCCCCAAGTTATGCAACAGTCCCATCTTTCCTAGAAAAGTTAACATTTCTGTTTCACTAGATGACTGAGCTGCTCCTTTGTTAACATGTTACATTAATCCAAAATACACTGTAATTTACAAAGAACATCCTTAGTTTATTAAGCACAATTCCTATGATACAAAACAGTCTACTACTTGTATATGTGGCAACACGTGACAGACTTCGTCACGTTGGAGGTAGAGAAAAGTTACCTAGCCAAATGCTTACCCTAATATTACACGACTGTAGTCATGACACAGTCAGCGAGCTTCAATGAGACTGCAAGAGTCCTCCAAAGGCACCTCTGCTAGCGCTGTCCTGACAGCCAGGCTGTTTTCAGAAGTATACTACATGGAGTTTTTCAGAGGGGCAAAAAGGAGTGTGATGATTGTCACCCTCAAGTTCTACTTACAGCAATGGGGAAAAAGTTAGCCTAATATTACATCAAAAACCACAGTCATGTTTTTAACATAAAAGTATGGCTGACTTTTTACCTGCCTTTCAAGACCACACCTTCTCGGCTTTCAGTGGGACTCTAAACTAAGTATTTGTACAGATTCTGAAAGCATCACGGCTCGTGTCCAGGTATGCGCAGTCACTCCACAGTCTTCTGCGTGCTGGGTGGCGTCGCATCAGCAATTGTAGCTAAATAAATGAGGTTTCTATGCAGGATATGCTGGTACCTAGGAGAGGAAGAAACATAGTATCTGGGAAACGTGTTCTTTCCTGGCAAACTACCCATACTTTAATAGTCGCCTTTAATTTGATCAATATTTAGAAAAGAAATCACAAACTATGAAAATAATAAATCAGGGCAAACACCACCTCCGTATCCTGTTCTAACGCCCAGTATACTGCACTCTCTAACCAAGTATGTGCTACCAACCAACCTTGACGGTACACACACACACGCACACGTGAAGAGCTTTGTATGATCAACACTGAAAAGATACAGAACTGCAAGAAAGCAGCCCAGAAGAACCCCAGAGCTCCGCTGTTGGGCTGGTCTGAACCTACAGCCAGCACGCACCCAGGCTCAGCACCGGGTGTCAACCTGGCTGTCCTTCAGGCCCTCCGCAGGTTTAAGAGCTGAACTGCTGCAGGGCCACCAGCCGACTACCCTCACTCTTCTGTAAATACGCAAGTGTTTGTTTTACACACACGGGGTGAGGGTGGGGTAGAAAAGCTGCCCAACAGAGCTGGTTTTCATCTCACCAGGTTCATCCTATACAGTGGCATTTCTGCTTTACAGATCTCTGAAACTGATTTTTGGGAAGCGTCCTAAGCACAACCGCGTTTTCTTCTTAACGGCAGGAACCTGCTCTTGAGAGCAGAACCGCGTTTCTCTCTCGCTGGGCACCTGGGGGCTCCGACGCTCTCGGGGTTCCGGGTTGGGCCGGAGGAGACCGCGAGAGGCCGGGCGGGGGTCAGGGCCCGCCCGTCACCCGCGCCCGCGGGGGCTCACTTACTGCACGCAGTCGGTGGCCCGACCCTTGCTCTGGTACTCCACGATGCACCGGATCAGCTGGTCGTTCTCCTCCAGCA